AACTAGGTCAGGTAACTGTCATCCTTATGAACCACTGATATCATCAGAAGTGTCATAACATAGACACTGTCATCTATATTATCATGAGTGAATAATTGTTTTAGTATCATTGCCCGAGTGATTATAGGAAAGAAAACGTGAACCTTTTTCAAAGAAAATTTATTTTAAATAAATAAATTATTTATTATTTATTAATTAAAATTTATTTTAAATAAATAAATTATTTATTATTTATTTATTAAAAAAAAAACATTTCCGTAACATCGTTAAATTTGTCAATTTCGGCTTCCGTAACATTTACAAATCTAGCCGCCATTTTTGGCGCCACTACAATGTAAACCCTAGAGGTGATTATCGAAAAATAATCACCTAGGTCTCGACCAATCAGCGCGCAGGATTTCCTATAGTCACTCGGGCTATGATACTAATAATTGATATATATTTCTAATAATATATTTCTAATAACAGATCTATATCTAATACTAATAGATCTATTATTATTCACTCCTGATATTATGACGCTCCTGATATCCTTAGACAATATAATAATCGGTCTATTATGAACTTCTGACATTACCAAGAGTAGATAACGAATTGTCTTGATATTATCATGAGTAATAACGATGTCTACTTGTAGATATCTACTATGTTACTATGTTATGTCTGTTGATAACTTGATAGCATTATCATTGATGACATATGACAGACGGTAAATAGCAAGCAGTCGTTCGCAGGCTACCAGCAACAACGTGGTTAAAAAACAAACTCGTTATTACGATTTCTTCAAGCCCGCTCGTGCCTAGAATTGCGTGTTTGCATTACAGTTCGTTGCAGAGATTGCATGCATACATAATTACAGGAGTCTATCAATATATTGATAGACTCCTGATAATTACATATATATATCAGGGGCGGCGCATACGGGGGGGCCGGGGTGGCCCCCCACTTTTTTTGGCAGAAAATATATGGCTATATGTATTTTGTATGATCAGAAAGAAATGCAAGAAAAGAAAGAGGGAATAAGGAGGAGAGGAAGGGGGAAAGAGCGAAAGAGAGTGTTTATCCACATTTTCATCTGCCTACTGGAAAATTACAAAGTTTGACGAAGTCCCTCTAGCCTTACTTTATAGCAAACAGACATGCACAGCGCCGTATTTGCCCCAATACCGTGCGGACTTCGGGGCCTGATCCTGTGCTTCGGAGGGTCGAATATCAGTACCGTACTTGCATATGCACACACTGTACTTATACTGCACTACGCACGCGTACGCACGGCTTTAAAGTACGCGCAGCACGCAGAGCATAACTCAGTACTTAGCCTAGCCTGGCATGCATATAGCGCATAGTGTCAGGGCTCGACTTTAACGGTGGCCCGGGTGCCAATGGCCACCTGAAACGGTGTACAAATAAAACAATACAAATAATGTTAGTTTGGTATCTACAGGGTTCATGCTGTAGGACATATGTTTCTAGTTAGAGTTGGAAGCGAATATATTATATTTCAAGGTTTCAGTAATGCATGTATAACCATCAACTCATAGGTAGGACATCATTAGTACAGAGAAAATTAACAAGAGCCGCAGAGCGTCTGGGCTCATCTGAGGTCTGTTGCTACGATTATAAACGTAAAATTTCAGTCG